GCTTGGCCTGCTGTATTCATCCAGCCCTGCACCTTGTTGTCTCGGATTCTCCAGCATCTGCAGTTCCTACTATCTCTGATGCTATTTATAGATTATTATTTTTGAGCCGTAAGTAGCAATGATCCCAGGATTATGACAAGTCTTGAAACAAAAGAAGTAGGAGAATAACACCACAACATCTGCAGAGATACCAAAAAATATTGTGTCTCTGGAACAGGTTGAGGGGTAAACTGAAAGACATTAGAAGAACTTATATGCCAAAGGAGGTGAGAATACACACACAAACTTTCTAAATTAAAAAAAGTTCAATGTAATTATAAAGAGGTTGCAATTGTTATTTTCTAAAAAGCCCATTGGTGAAGGATAGAATTGGAGCCAAACTCAACAGACATGCTTCCATACAGTTACATGTTGATATGACTAATGCCAGGCAATGCTCATCTTCCCTTCACATTCAGTCATATTACCATTAGTCAGAAACTTAACAGGGCTCACCAAGTAGTTACTGTAGTGACAAAAGCAGAGGCTGGGAACTCTGACAAGTAGCTCACTGATTTCCTGGTGTTGGTCCGCCATCCATAAGACACCACTCAGAAGTGTGATGAAATACTGCCTTTTTGTCTAGGTAAAGACAACTCCAGTAACACTCAAGAAATGAGAGATTGTAGACTTGCTTGCCAGCATGTTTGAGTGCTGACATTTCATCACCCTGCTAGGTAACATTTTCAGTGAAAAGCAGAACCGGAAGTGATGTCAGCCACCCCAAACTGAGGCATTTCAATAACAAGCAGGACAGAACACCAACACTTCACCAGAGGTGCACTGACAACATTACCTAGCAGGATGACAAAACATCTGCAATCAAACACATAGGCTCAGTGAGGCTACAACCTCACCCACAACTCAAGTGGCAAATCTTCTCAAAAATCTTTAAACTCAAGAAATTTGACAAAGTAACCACCTGGAACATCCATCATTTATTTTGTCCACAACCAATGCACTGCAACAACATACAAAGGCTCTTTCAATAGAGCCTCACAGACCCACAATCTACAAAAGTTAGCAAACAAATGGGAACTCCAACACCTGCAAATCATTCACTAACCTGGCTTGGAATAATATCATCATTCCTTCATTACAACTGAAACAAAATCCTGGAACATCCTCCATCACAGCACTATAGAAGTGACCAACCATGTAGACAACAGGGATTCAGGAAGGTGCTTTCTCAAGGGTAACTAGGGATTAGCTGCTAGTATGCCAACAACACCCACATCCAAGAAAAGAGTTTTAATATACCATAAACCTTCTAGCACACCACCCATAATCCATCTTTGTAGGAGCACAAGTGAATCTGTCAGTTAATTCATATCATCTGCATTCAATTAAACATAATTAAGACACAATTCACAGCAGAATCCTATCCTCCACCATCTGATTATCTGAATTCCAATGATGATACACTTAATATTCACAGTATTGGTTTGTTAAATGCAAGTCTCATGCTGCAAATGTTAATAGAATATTTTGAAGAAACAATGTAGTGTATTGAAAAAATAAATTTCAATGGATATTGTGCATTTGAATTTTCAAAAGGCATTTGAGAAGTCAAAGATATATTGATAAAATGAAAGAACGTGTCACTGAGGGGACTGTGATTGCTGTTCATGATTTTTTTTATTATTAAGCAGTAAATAATAATGATCCTGGGGACTAATGTGCCTCTTAAAGTACACATAGAAAGATAACACAATAAAAACATTTGCACACAACCCAAAACAAAACTATGGTTGTGAAACAAGTTCAGAAGGGGATAAACAAGGTGGGCAAAAAACACCAGAAGAAATTATATGCCAAGAAAGTTAAGATTCTAGATTTGGAGTGAAAAACACAAGAGGGAAGTGTAATGTATATACTGCACATAAGGTTAAAGAATAGATCCATTTCAGCAGGGTTTCCAACAAACTTTCAAAATTTCATTACACAATGAGAGTTCCCATCGAAATTAAAACTCAAAAGTAAGGATTGGATTGGGGAAGCCACAGGAATTCCAGTCCACAAAAAATGACAAGTTGATGAAGCTGGGATAGTAGGAACTGCCGATGCTGGAGATTTCTGAAGAAGGGTCTAGATCCGAAATGTCAGCTTTCCTGCTCCTCTGATGCTGCTTGGCCTGCTGTGTTCATCCAGCTCTACACCTTGTAAGCTAAGTTGATGAAGCTGCTTGTTGTATTTAACAAAGACCCAATTGAGTGTGAGCTTTATACAGCAGGACAAAGGGTAAGAAAGGATTGTTAAAACTACAAAATCATCTGGTTAGGTTAAAATTAGAATGTTGTATCTTTCTGGATGTTCCAATTTAGAGAGAATGTTCAGGCCATACAAGAGAAAAACTCACTTTTTTCATACCTTTCAGGACCACAAGACATTCCAAGGTGTTTTAAAGCCAGTGAAATACTTCTGAAGTATAACCAATTTGCTCACAGCAAGCGCCCACACACAATGATCTGATAATGGTAATACAATCCATATTTGTGATTTACAGATAAATATTATCTTGCACCCCTGCTATTCCTCAGTATAGTATTATGTGACTTTTGACAGTCACCTGTGAGGTCCAGCAGGTCTTGTTTTAAGGTTCGGAAAGATAAGACGACTGACAGTGCAGTGCCCCCTCAGGATAAGTTACAGACAATCTTTACTAATACTATAAACATAGAATCCCTACTCTGTGGGAGCAGGCCATTCAGTCCACACTGACCCTCCAAAGAGCATCCCACCCAGACAGACCCCCCTATACCCTATAACAGTGCATTTCCCATAGCTAACCCACATAGCCTAGACACTATGGGCAATTTAGCATGGCCAGTCCACCTAACCCACACATCTTTGGACTGTGGGAGGAAACCCATGCAGACACCAGGAGAATGCCACACAGTCACTGTAGGGTGGAATTGAACCCAAGCCCCTGGTACTGTGAGACAGCAGTGCTAACCACTGAGCCACCACGCCACATACTAGGAATGAGCTGACATAGTTGCTAAGGACATTAACAGACCATCAAGAAGTAGTCTGAGATGTTGAAAAAAGGGGAAGTAATTTGCTGCAGTGAAGAGGGAACAAATTATTCTGTAGGTTGGCAAATCTATGACTAGTGTGGTGTTATAAGTCATTGTCAGAATACCAATATATCCTTAAGAAACATGCTCACAGTATATTCGCATGTGATCTGAGAGCATAAATGTCTCAGATTCCATCTTATTTTGGGTCACTTGCAGCATGACATACTGATGGAAGCATGTTACTTTTTGTAACTGGATAACAACATTAGCGCAAAATCTGAAATGCTTATCAATATAATAAATTAATGAGCTGTAATAATATCTCTTGGATCTTTCAATGCTATGTTACACACATCTAATTCCTAATTTATGGGGCATAACATAAGCATTGCTGGATAAGGTAAAGATACCCTGGTAGAGTCAAAATATGCATTATGGTGCCCATATATGAATGGACTCCGAAGTTTTAGTAGTAGATATTTTGAAAACCTAATTAAAGACCGCTGGACATGGTCCTGACTATCAAAGCATTTTAAAACTCAGTATTACCTGTTTCTGTGATAATAGAAAACAGATTATTCTGGATCAAAATCTAAATTCTATCAAGCTAGAAGTAATTTTGACCAATGAAGTTGCTCAAACAGGAAAGGCTAAAGATTTTAGTCCTGTGTTGAACGTAAGAAAAAAGTGATAGAAGCAGAAGTAGGCCATTCAGCCCCTCAGGCCTGACCCACCATTCCATAAGATAATGGCTGGTCTGCCCTGGGCCTCAAATCCTCTTTCCTGCCAGCTCCTCATAGCCCTCAATTCCTCAATATTGGAAAAATCTCCTGTTTAGATACTTTCAGTGATCTAGCCTCCAAAATTTTCTGGAATGGATAACTTCAAACATTCATTACTCTCTGACAGAAGAAATTCTTTCACATCTCAGTTTTAAATGAGTGTTCCCCTATACTCTCTAATTAAATCTCCTAATTTGAGATACCCTCACTAGTACAAACATTTTCTCAATATCTGCCCTGTCAGCGCTCCTCAGAATCTTACCTGTTTCAAATAAGATCACCCCTCATTTTTCTATAATCTATGGCCTAACATGTTTAGCCATTCTCGAAATATCAACTCCTTCATCGCAGGAATCAACCTACTGAATCTCTTTTGAACAGCTTCCAATGTTAACCTATCCTTTCTTAATTAAGGGGATCAAAACTGTACACAGTACTCCAGGTGCAATCTCAACAATTCCCTGCACAGTTGTAACCAGACTTTTGTATTTTAAAACTCCAATTCTCGAGCAATGAAGGCCAAAATTCCATTTTCCTTCTTAATTATTTGATGTACCTTTTTGCAAAGTTGGTATAGTGCTTGTGGATTGGAAAGCAGGATGTTAGAATTTGTTCATAAAATGATGGAGGGGGGAAGAGTGCGTGGTCCTTTTAAAAGCTGTGTTTTCCTAAATGTCTGCAGGTAGCAGCAGATGCACAGAGTTCTTGAAATTGCAACATTGTAACAAAAGTCTATACTGTTAGCACGCAAAGCAATATTTTTACCAAGACAACAGGTTTTTGAATTTAGCCAATTAATTTAAACCAGGTCCTAGATACCAAAGCCCAATTAAATTTAAATCTGTCGTTTTTGACAACCTCAGACTAATCCTACTGTAAGAAATTCATCAAGGGTATAAAAGAAGACGGCATTTGAAAATTGGTGTGAGACGAACTGCCATCTGTTAAGAGAACAGCTCTCAACAGCCATCAGCTCTAAAGAAAGAGAACATCATTGGCTCTCACAGCGAACTCTAAGATCACAGAGTAAGCACCATCTAAGTAAAGGTACCATGGCCCTCTTAGCTAATATTCCTGATACAAGAACTCAACAAAGGAAGGCGTTCCTGACTGGAGGACAGCGAAGAAGGTGAAGAACATTCTGGAAGACTTATCCCGGCTGTAATTTTGAGAGACTAAGTTTTAAGTTTTTTTCATTAATTTGGCTTATATAAGTGGGATTTGTATTTATTCGAACAGCATGCCATTAGAATTTTGTTTTACTTGGGAACATTTAGTAGTTAAGGGGGAATTGTTTGATTTGTTAGTAGTTCTGTTAATTTGTTTACTGTTAGAGTTAGATAAATAAATTGTTACTTGTTGATTCTAAAGTGAGTATCAGGGATTTCTTTCATTTAACAACTCCTTTACAACAGATTGAGAGGTGAGAGGCAGGTTATACCACTTTTCACATTTCCTTTAATGGATTACAAGGCCAGGCGAGCCTGTCTGGGTGTTTTGGCTTTAGATATCGGGGTGGGGGGTGGGGGGACGCATCGACCACTCCTTTGTAACAACCTGCATGCTAATATTCATGTTTCATGTTTCATGCACAGGAGCACACAGATTCTACTTTTCGGGGACTGGCTTTTGATTCTTCCAACCTCATACAAAGTGTAGCAGCTACATTAAACTCCATGTACCAGGCTTTTGTCCATTCATTCAGCCTGTCTATATCCCTTTGCAGATTCCTTATATTCTCAACACACATGTCCTCCCATTCATTTTTGTATCATTAGAAAATTTGGATATATTACACTCTGTCCCATCCTCCAACTCATTAATATGGAAAGTAAAGAATTGAAGTCCAGCAATTATCTTTGTGACGTAATGCTAGTCTTTTCAACCTGATAAAGACCCATTAATCCAAATTCTCTGTCTTCCGTGTGTTAACCAATTCTCAATTCAAATAATATATTACCCACAATACTGTGTGCTCCTATCTTGAGCAATAACCTTTTATGTGGAACCTTATCATGTACCTTCTGAAAATCCAAAAGCACTACATCTACCAGTTGCACTTGATCAATTCAGCTTGCTCATCAAAGACTTTTGGAAATTTGTCAAACATGATTTCCATTTCATAAAACCATTTTGACTCTATATGATTGCTTTCCTGCTATTTCTTCCTTAATAATGGACTCTAATGTTTTCTCAATGACAGATGTTAGGATAACTGGCCTATAGTTTCTTGATCAACAACAACAAAAACAGAAATTGCTGGAAAAGCTCAGCAGGTATGACAGCATCTGTAGAGTGAAAACAGAGTTAACATTGCGGGTCCAGTGACTCTCAGAAAGCTTCTTGATTTATGTCTCTCTCCCTTCTTGAACATGGGTGTCATGTCAGCAGTTTTCCAATCTCCTAGAGCC